AAGTAGCTATAGTGGGAACCCAGAACCAAAATAAGTATTAAAGTATAGTACTCCAAAACACAGTCTACATCCACCCCCCCCCCCCCCCCCCGGCCTGGCAGAAATCTTGAATGTCCTTCGTTTGGAGTCCGGGGGGCATGGATTTCGGATTAGGGCTTAGGGCTTAGGGGGGTTTAGGGTTTAGAGCATTGGGTTTTAGAAGCTTAGGACTGTGGAGCTGCGGTCTGCGGGGCTTCTTGAGGGTTTTATGGGTGTCTCTTGTTCGGGTTTTGGGGTTTAGGGTTCGGGTACGGGTTTTAGGGTTCTAGGGAGCATGCTTACCGTAGGCTGGCGGGGGGGGAGCGTTTTGTCGAAAGAGCCTGTTCAAACCCAACACCCCCATCACAACCCCAAAGCCCCCCGCGAAAAAGATCCACAACCCTCAACCCCTTCATGTCATTTGAAGCCTAACCCCCAAACCAAAAAAAAAACACCCAGAAAAAAAAACAAAAACCCAAGAAACCCAAAAACCTATAAATAATGCCCTAAACCCTAAACCCAAAACCCTAAACTCCAGATGCTTTGCCCAAAACTCTGAACGCTAGCCCCAGCGTCCCAGACAGTCAGCGGGAAGAGGAAGAGACGCAGAAGCGCGCCAGCAGCGATGGGACTCTCCGTGTCGCCTTTGCAAGGTCAGACGCCAGGTTACCTATAAACTCACCCTTGTGCCTAAGCCCTACAATCTAAACCCCAAACCCTTTTGGGGTTTCTTCGGTTTAGGGCAATGGGAGTAGGGTTTAAGAAGCTTGGAACAAGGGCTCTGCATTTCGCGTCCCCATTTCGCTGTAACCCTCAACCGACAACCCTAAAGCCTAATCCATAAAACCCCCAACCCTACACCCCAACCCCCCTAAACCCTAAACCCTAAACCGCAAACCCCAAACCCTGAACCCTGAACCCTAGAACCCTAAAACCCAAAAACCCTAAAACCCTGAACCCTTGTCGTATTTGAATGCTTTGTGCTTGGCTGCAATAGCTTCTCGTGCCTCCCATTGAAAGCCCCAAATTTTTAACTACGAAGAGAGCACGCTTATATGATGTTAACTTACAAGCGAAGCAAACGAGCGCGTCAAATTCATATTATCATTACGTGTGTGAACGAAGTGGAAGAAGAACATATTCGAATTGCCCTAAACCCTAAACCCTGAACCCTAAACCCTAATGGTAAATTCAGTTGTTGGGGGCACTCACTGCATGGCTCTTTGTTCGTATTCTCACCTTCGTTCACTTAGTAAATGAGTTGTGTTTAAGGGGCTTGAGAATGTACTACTTAGTAGCCCAGAAACCATATGATGATAAGGGCACCCTTTGTTTTTGGGTTGGTTACTTTATAACGAAACCCATAACCATAAAATGGGTAAAGGATACCACTGGACTAGCAAGACTAAAACTAGCCCCATTTAAAACCCCAACTAAAACTGGCCCCTGTAAAACCCTAAACCCTAACCCCTAAACCCCAAACCCTGAACCCTAATTAGTAACGACAACCCTAAACCCTAAACCCTAAACCCTAAACCCACACAGGCCCATGGGAAATGCCCCCTGCAGCTGCCTCGCAGCTTGAAGAGCACGCTCGTAGGATTTGCAGTCAGCTCCAGGATGTCTCGAAAAGAGCCTCTCAAGGGTTTAGGGTTTAGGGTTTAGGGTTTAGGGTTTAGGGTTTAGGGCTTAGGGCTTGGGGTTTAGGTTTAGGGCTTAGGGTTAGGGCTTAGGGTTTAGGCTGAGGGTTTAGGGCTTGGGGGTTGAGGGCTTAGAGTTTAGGGCTTAGGTTCTAGGGCTTAGGGTTTGGGGGGCTCAGGCACTGCAACATACGAACCTGCACAAGTCCCACTTCCTCGTCATGCCCAGCCAGGCTTAGCAAGGAACTCGACCTTTGACCCCTAAGGTTCTCAGGTTGTAGCCCTTTGTTTGGGGGACCCTAAACCCTAAACCCGGAACGGTATAAGGGAATACATGGCCAGACGGGGAAAACCAAATGCCAAATCTGGCAGGCAGAGCGCTGTTTAGGGTTCAGGGCCTAGGGTTTAGGATGTAGTGTTTTGTGAGGGTATGCTTGAAGGTACTTAGAAGTAGGGTTATAAAGGCCCTAAACGAGGTTATAACTTACTACCATAGTTACCCTTCTGTTTGCCTTGCCTACAAGTACCCATAAACCTCCAAGTGAGTGTATGTAAGGGTTAGGGCATGTAGGGTACGAGGGCATTTGAGGGTTTAAGGCATTGTCACCCTCCAACCGCGATCGCCCCAGATGTTATCGCTCCCCACCCCTTGGCCACCAAAAACTAAGGGTTATAAGGCGGGACCACTAGAAGGGACCCTTAATCTTCTTCCCCTATATAACCCCATATTTATACATCTTATATAGTTCCTTAGCCCCGAAGTATCCCCTATATAAGGTCCCTGGATCCTCCGTTAGTCCCTTGAAGAAATCCCTCGACAACTATGTACTGTGGCTGAGAGGGTATAGGGTGTAGGTCAATTTTGGATCCGAACCCAAAATTTTACGCCCCTAAGGCTTGCCCTAAGCCCGCAAACCCCAAACCCTAAACCCTAAACCCTAAACCCTAAAACCTAAACCCTAAACCCTAAACCCTAAACCTAAACCCTAAACCCTAAACCCCAAACGCTAAACCCCAAACCCTAAACCCTTTCCTCCGTGCCTGCGCTATCGAGGAGCTCACATCCCCGAGCCGCCGCGAACCGGGGCTCGCCGATGCCAGAGCTCGGGCGCGGGTTGCGCGCCAGTCCTTCAGTGGGTTTAGGGTTTAGGGTTTAGGGTTTAGGGTTTGGGGTTTGGGGTTTGGGGTTTGGGGTTTGGGGTTTGGGGTTTAGGGTTTAGGGGGTTGAGGCTGTCACAGTTTAGGGTTCGGATAGTAAGGCTTCATGTTCAGATTGCCAGGGTGGCGGGCTCAACTTCGTATAGGTTTCATAAGGCACGCGAAGAATCCTAAACCCTAGTTTTGGACTTGGGGAACTAACCTAAGAATCACAAGTTGGGGTGGTGTGGGTTTGTACAAAAACTTCCAAAGCAGGCGGTATTGGGTCATCTAGGTGAGGCTGAATGTTTATGACAAAGGTGCAGGGTTTTGTCTTTGGTTTAGGATTTAGGGTTTAGGTGTTAGGGTTTAGTCCCCTCCCCCTAATACTAAACCCCACCCTAATTCTAAATACTATTTTTCCCGGAACCTCCCGGCACCCAGCCCACCACTGAAATTGTTTGAGAATTAGGGGGGGGGGGTCGAGGGCCTCCACCCTTGAGTTGAGCCACTAGGGTTTTCAATGAGGGTTTAGGGCTTACGGCTCAGAGGATGTGCACCCTGAACATCCCTATACTCCCTCCTGCTTCAGATTTCAGGTTTTAGGGTTTAGGTCTCCCCTAATTACAATTAATTGTAAATAATTGGGGTGGGGGGGGTTGGCGGATTTAGTAGTAGGGGGAGGGGATTACCCGAACTCACGGCTTTACGCGTGTTGGCCTGATATCAGGAGTCAAGGCATGGGGTTGGAAGGGTTTCTGCTGTAGGGCCGCTCACTTCTATCGGGCTTCCATAAGCCCTAAGGCCCTAAGCCGTAAGGCCCTAAGGCCCTCAGGCCCTAAGCCCTAAGCCCTAAGCTCCAAGCCCTTACCCAGAAGCCCCATGCACAGCCTGAACCTTCAGGTTTAGGGTTTAGGGTGTGCCCTTTTGGGTTTAGTCCGAGAGGCGAGCATCACCCATCTCGATCACGTTGTAGGGGTTTCCCACTGCATCGTTCATGGACCATACCGACAACACCTGTGCCAAGAGCTCATCAGCACAGCACCTAGACGCAAAGAACGAACAAAAGGACGTACCCACTCCGATACCAGTAGGGTTCAAATCCCCAAACTAGACCCTAAACCCTAAGCCCCATGACGGCTCTGACAGCCCTTCGTTTCGGGAAGAAGTGTGCTGACGGCAATATCTGAAGCCCACGACGATCAGCTGACGCTTCCTAGAGTCCTTATCTGAGGGGTTGGGGTAATCAAAACGGTACAGTGCCCTCAATCAAAATGCCGAAGATAGGGCTTGGGGCTCGCGGACTGCGGGCTTCGGGTTTAGGGCTTAGGCTGTAGGGTTGATATAGGGTTTAGGGTTTAGGGCCGTTTAGGGTTTAGGGTTTAGGGTTTAGGGTTGTTCAGGTTTAGGGTTTCAGTGGGGCTTCTTCCTCCCCTGCTGTGCGGAAGCAAAGCTGGCGCGCCTGGTTGTTGGAGGTCGTCCCGGCAGCAACCGTGCCGTGGAAGACGATCTGGTAGCTCCTCAGAAGGCTTATAGCGTTGCGGGGAAGCGGGGTTTAGGGTTTAGGGTTTAGGGTTCCGGGTTTAGGGTTTAGGGTGTAGGGCACATGTTCCCGAAAGGAAACGCCCCGGAAGTGACAGGGTTGTTGCAGAAACCTGCGAGGTAAGAAGGATGCCAGGCTTTGTTGCAAGAATCCTGACCCTCACGAAAAGAATCCGGGCACCACTCAGCGTTCTGAATCTCCATTGAAGTGTGCTTCTCATAGTTTCGGAACCTGCCCAAAACCCAAAAAACAAACCGCAGACAGCCAAGAAAGGCTCCTGACATAAATCAGCCCCCGCAACGAACCCTCGATAACCCCTAAACCCTAAGCCCTAAACCCAATAAGTGCGCCCTTAGTCTCCCCAAAGCCATCATTCTTGGCGATCATATCTACATATATACATATATAGAGATGTGTGGTTGAGGCGTGGCTTCACAGCAGGCGTTCTTGTTCCAGCACCTTTCTCAGGATTAACCTGAGCTTTGCTGCTGCAGGCATCGCAGTCATGATGGGCGTCGAGAAGATGCAGAACCCCGCGGCAGCTGCCAAAGCTCGAGTTGCATCGGTAGCCTAAACCCCAAACCCTGCACCCGGTGGCAGTCACGTTGTGGATGTTCGTGCTCTGGAACATCAGCAGCCTCCGTCCTCAGAGTCTGTCTATCTCACCTCACAGCTGCCTGGTGTTTCAGCAAGAAATCCGCGATGCCTCTCAGAGACTGCTCCGCCTCGGGCAGCTTGGAGAACCTTGGTAGCCCGGCAAGGCAACTTCATAGTAAACCCTAAACACCCTAAACCCTGAACCCTAAATCCTAAACCCCGCTATTGGGTTGGCTACTGCATATACGGGAACCTTGAATCCCCCCCCTAAACAAAAACAAAAACAAAAAACAAAAATAAATAAATAATAATAATAATCATAATAATCATAGTAATAATAACAATAACAAAACAGGAAAAAGGGCACCACTGGGCTACCAGGGAACCACTCGAAGACGTGCCACATCCCGTCGGTGACACGGAGGTCGACCACGGCCTCGCGGCCTTCTTCGCTGGCAGCTGCGGCTTCACGCAGCTTCGCTGCCTTGCTAGACCCAGTGAGGGTTTAGGGTTTAGGGTTTAGGGTTTAGGGCTTAGGGTTTAGGGTTTAGGGTTTGGGGTTTGGGGTTTGGGGTTTAGGGTTTAGGGTTTAGGGTTTGGGGTTTGGGGTTTGGGATTTAGGGCTTAGGGTTTGGGATTCCCCTTTATACGAACAGCCCTTCATTTAGGGGGTACTAGAATCCCTATCAAGGACGGCGAGTATAAGGGGGAGCATCCCAAAGTCGCATATTCTAATAAGAATATCGATAGGGGGGGGGGGGGGGGGTTATAAGGGAACCTTGAACCCCCCAAGCTACCAAGCCACAAGCCTGATGCTGTCGCTCATCAGCAGATCCCGTGTTCCTGTCGTGATGATGACGGGCGGGAAGCGAGCCGGCATGTCAGCAAACAGCGGTGAGACATCGGGTGACTTGGCCTTCTCCGTCCCACTCGCATCCGCGGGCACACCCATGTAAGCGCAAGTGGCCGGGTGCAAGAAATGTTCCACAGACAAGGTCGGGTCGAGATTCTGGCAAACCACATGGCTGTCCCCGCTATGCGAGAGGTCGGCCCAGGGGCTCAGTAGCGCCACCGCCTCCGGCGCCGCCAATTCACGGTCTCCCAGAACATCGAGCAGCAACCTTAGCGCCAGGTGGCCACCCGCTGACTCACCCACGAGAAGAACTCGGCGCCTTTGCACGCCCACGAGCTCGCGGTACACAGCCGCTGCGTCTTCGATGGCCCTCGGGTAGGGGTTCTCGGGCGCGCGGCGATATCGTGGCACGCAGACCGAGAGCCGGGTAAAGTGCGCGAGCTTCGCCGTGATGGCGAGGTCATCCTCCGGGCTCCCCACAACAAAGGCCCCGCCGAAGAAGTACAAGATGACAGGGGCCTGATCACCGGTGTCTTGCTTCCCCTGCTCGCCTTCGCCCTTGCAGTTGTGGACCCATTGGCAGTCGATCCCACCAACGGCCGACTCGCTCAGTCGCACCGCGTCGTGCCCAATCTGCTCCTGCACAATCTTCCAATGCTCCCTGCCGATCATGGCATTGTCATCACGGAGCCCTCTGACCTGTACTCCCCCTAGAACCTTATGAAACATAACATGCTTAATGTCCTCTTGGGTTTTGTATAAACAAAAATCAAAAATAATTCCCAAGGGGGAGATAGTGACAGTCGCAGCATCGCTCAGGTCCGCCATGGTCCAGGTCGCATCTGCGCTGCTTGCAAGGAAGGCCTTCGCCTCAGCACTGGCACCATCCGGGAGCGGGAGCAGTGGCATGACCAGGATGGGCTTCTAGGCCTTAAGATCCCTAAATCCCTAAATCCCTAAACCCTAAACCCTAAATCCTAAACCCTAAACCCTAAACCCTACACCCTCTAAAGGGCCCCTTTTTCAGGGATTGCAGGGTATAATAGACCATCCTGGGAGGCTGAAAAAGTGTTTTGGTGAAGAAGCGAGCTTTCTCAAGCCAAAAGCAGCGTAGGAGCACACCTGCACCTGCAAGCTCCTCCGAGATGCATCGACGCGCATGGTGATCCACACCCGTGTCCAAAGAGTTACGTCGCCTTCTAGTTAGGGTTGAGGGTTTAGGGTTTAGGGTTTCGGGTCTAGGGTCTAGGGTTTAGGGTTGAGGGTTGAGGGTTTAGGGTGTAGGGTTTAGGGTTTAGGGCGCATATGGTTCTAGACGTATAGGGATGTACAGGGGGTTCATGTCGACGACCTTGTCGCTTTTTTTGCAATAACCATGATGATGCTCTGCGATGCGTCATCTGAATTTTAGGGTTCCTCTTTGCAGGGACCTCAACCAAGCATAACAGAGCCTGCGATGGATAGGTTAGGGTCGATAGGATGCTGGCCAGTGGTAGAGGGTTCATAAGGGCTTGAGGGTTCAGGGATACTAAAGGGGTTATGGGGGTTTAGGGATTGCATGGTGGGGGGGGGGTGGGGGTGGTGGGGGTTAGGAGTTAATGAGCCAGAGGATGCTTCTGTAGTCCCGATTGGCCGCCGAATCAGCCGAACAAAAATGTTTCAGCCTTCATGCCGTCCGGAAGAAAGGTCTTCAGGCCACAGCCCTTGACACTCAAGACGATGCGGTTGGCATCATGGGGACCACATGAACCCTGAAAGGGTTGGGGTTTCTGATCCGTTCTAAGAATGTAGACCCTAAACCCTAAACCCTAAACCCTAAACCCTAAGCCCTAAACCCTAAACCCTAAACATATATATATATATATACATATGATTGTATGCTTCCGATTTTAAGGCGCATGTGGCCTCCACAGGGAAGTGAGGAACCCAGGCAAAGACGCCGCTTTGCAATGCAGGCAAGCGTCGAATCCGTCTCCTGGCACTTTAGGGTTTAGGGTTTAGGGTTTAGGACAAGGGATGAGAAGGCGTCGGATTTCGGCTTCCGGGAGCTTGGGTGATGCTGGGTTGAAGTGGAGTTTAGGGTTTAGGGTTTAGGGTTAGAGTTTAGGGCTTAGGATTTAGGGTTGTTTAGGGTTTAGGGTTTAGGGTTTAGGGTTTAGGGTTTAGGGTTTAGGGTTTGGGGTTTAGGGCTTAGGGCCTAGGGTTTGGGTTATTCTGAAGCAAAAAAGCACTGGGCCAGATAAACCATCTGAGCCCTCATGCCAAAACCTCAAACTCCACACCCTACATCTGCCTGGGACTTGAAGTCTATATACCTACAGTTTAGTAGCAACTACCCCTTTATTCGTAGGTATGGAACCATAAACCTGTAGGTACAGAGAGTCCCAGGTCAACCCTACGCCCTGAACCCTAAGTCGAACAGGGCGCATTGCATTGCACCCTCGGACACCCGAAACTATCATGCAGGAAGCCGAAGGCACCCCGCAACTAAAGAGCAACAGTTCAAAGCAGCTCTCGGCGTAACCAACTTCAAATCCATTTCTTAGTGGCTGTGCTTGCAAAGGAGAAGGGTTGACTTTGGGTTGTGATAATTAAAGGGCCAAATCTATACTTTATAGTACCACGATAGGTTTCGGGTGCCGGCACTTGTGTGCTACCTGATGAAACCTCTAACCTCTTGCCCCAACCCCAAGAAAGCCCTGCTAAACCTTGAGCCCTGGACAGGAGCAATATTGATGAGCACCTTCAAATTAAAAATCGATCCGAGCGCCCTGGACCCTCTGCGCCGAGTCACGACCCAATTGTGCTACGTCCAGGATATAGGCTTAGGGTATGTAGGGTTTAGGGTTTCCCGCCACATGCCCAGACATCAGTCCTGGCTAGCGTGGGATTCAGGATTCAGGGTTAGGCTTCAGGGTTCCAGATTCCTACCACTAGAGCTGGCCGTGGGAGTACATAGGGGCTATTCTACCCACGAAAGCTTCAAGATCTTTGTTCGCTCTCGATCTCTAAGTATACCACGTGGGAGCCGTCCCCCCCGCCCCCCCCCCCCCCCCCCCCCCCCCCCAACAAGGGTATCCGTCTTCCCGGGATCCAAAACCCAAAACCCAAAACCCTAAACCCTAAACCCAAAACCCTAACCCCTAAACCCTAAACCCTACTCCAACGCAAAAAGAACTGACATTGATCAAGCTGCCAAGCCATTGAGCGGGGCAAAGATCACGTTGAGCTCTCGCTCGGAGCCTGAACAGCAGTTTACATGTCACCCTAAACCCCAAACCCTAAACCCTAAACCCCAAACCCTAAACCCTAAACCCTAAACTCCAAGCCCTGAACCCAATGGGCGAAGGGCTTCGGCCTTTAGGCTCTAAAAGCCCCTAAAGATCTTCAACGGCCCCCGCTGTACACACCCTTTCGGTCCTCAGGCCCAAGCCCCTAGGGTTTAGGGTTTAGGGTTTAGGGTTTAGGGTTTAGGGTTTAGGGTTTAGGGTTTGGAGTTTAGGGTCTAGGGTTTAGGGAGACATGTTAGTCAGGGCCGAAGCTCCAAGCCCCATAAACATAAGAGCCCAGGAGCCCTCCAGACATTTTTTCTTGGCTAGCCTTGTCGACACTAGATAACCCGAAGCCCGAAGTACACCCTACACCATACACCCCTACACCCACAAGTTAAGGGTTTAGGGTTTAGGGTTTAGGTTTAGGGTTTAGGGTTTAGGGCCTGAGCAAGACATCCTGTCAGCCGTTCTACATCCCCACATGCATCGGCAATCCTGGTCTCGGTTCGGCTGTCCCCAATGCTCGAGAGCACCGACCCATCTCCTGAAGAGATCATACTACATCCGAGAGGTGCCCCAAACTTCAAGCCCTAAAACCCCCCTCAGAACCCTCAGACCCTCCGAACCCTACATACACACAAACCCTGCAAACCCTGTAAGCCACATAAACCCACAAACCCCATAAACCCCACAAAGCCCATACGCCCTATGGACCCACAAAAGCCCTGCAAACCCCAAAACTCCCTGGTTCTTAGTGATGAAATAAGGGCCCTGTATAAATACCCTTTAAGGAAGTACATAGGTACCTCCTTCCCTCGTTCCCTACTAGGAACCACTTGATTCATGCCGGCCTTGGGCGGAGCTGTAGTAGCAGCCCTGGGGCAGCGGGAAGCCCTTGGAGTCGTCCGACCAAAGCCTCGGCTGGCTCTCTTGCGTTCTTGGGTTGAGGGTCTGGACCCAAAGTGGAACCTAAGAATCAAAAACTGGTGTGCCCTTCTTTGTTCAAAGGGGCTTCTACTGGAATCTGCCCCCTAAAAAATGAAAGTAAGGGCCTGCTCTGGGGGTTGAGGGTTAAGGGTGTAAAAGTCGGGGGCTTAGGACTTAAGAACTCTCAGCCCTAAACCCCGCAAGGGGCTTATAAGGGAATCTAAACTCTAAAACACCTACTCTGATTCCTAGTGAACCCCACCCAAAAATCCTACTAGGATTCTTTTGAGGGTTCCCTGAGCTGGTCCGATCTGCTGTGGCGAACCCGAACCCCCATCATGGTCGAAACCTTCAAGTCTTGAAGGCTTAGGGTTTAGGGTTTAGGGTTTAGGGTTTAGGGTTGAGGGGTAGGGTTTAGGGTTTTGGGGTTTAAGGTTAAACCAGTTTGATCAGCCTGGGCTTTCGATTTTAGGGTTCAAGGAGCCGTTCTGGGGTGTACTGTCTAGCCCCGAAGCCCGAAACCCTAAACCTTAAATCCTGGCCCTAACCCTGAACCTCCAAAGCCCTGATCCAGGAGACTCCAAGAAGAGTTGGCCACACACCTGAGCAGGACCAGCTGATGCTGCTGGGTTGACATGACTTGGCGTATTGAGAGGTTTGAGGGTGTTGTGTTCTTAGGGCATCAGGCATAGGGCATTGGGGTTTACCCTCAACCTGAAACCCTAAACCCTAAACCCTAAACCCTGAACCCTAAGCCCCAAGCCCTAAACCCTAAACCGCCCAACCTAAAGTGAAGTGAAGCTTTCAGGTCCAGACAAGGAGCTTTAGAAGGCTGAGGCTTCATCCGTGGTAGCGGCCGGATTGGCTGCGTTTAGGGTTTAGGGTTTAGGGTTTAGGGTTTAGGGTTTAGGGTTTAGGGTTTAGGGTTTAGGGTTTAGGGTTTAGGGTTTAGGGTATAAGGTTTAGGAGCCGACCCCCGACGAACTCACATCTGAACCTAAACATCACAAAATGCCGGTCAAGAGTTCTCAACTCAAAAGAAAAAACTAAGCGGCAAAATTGTGTCACATGGGATCCCTATGAAGGACTGTCAGAATGAGGGAAAACATCCCAAGACTTCGGGTTTAAGGGTTTAGGGTTCAGGGTTGGTGTTGAGGGATTGTGCTGCCATGTCGCTGACAAGGAGGCATTGGCGAAGGAGCTGTGCTCCTGACCCACCGGGCAAAGCACGTAAAGACCACAAGACCCAACAGCCTGAAAACCCCAAAAGTCTAGGGTTTAGGGCTTAGGGTTTCGGGCTGAGGGTATCGAAAAGCACTGTTGAACCCAAGCGCCATACTGCAACAAGCCCCGACAAAGTTAAACCCGCAGCAGTCGTACCATGCACCCCTCGGACCTTTATGACCCCTGAGAGCCTTAAAACCCTACACCCCTAAGCCACAGGGACCGAACCCCAGCAACCCTAAGCCTGCACCCTCCGACTTCAGAACCCCAAACCGAAAGCTTAGGTGGAAAGGATCAGGGCTTGCGCAGGGCTTAGGCTCCTATAGCTTCAGGGCCTGAAGGCTCCCCTAACCCTAAACCCTAAACCCTAAATCCTAAACCCTAAACCCTAAACCTAAACCCTAA